CCCCCTGTCTTTCGGCCACTCTCTCGTTCACTTCGCTCTACGTTGTGATTCTATGACTCTACTGTGTGGTAAAGGGTAATACAGTCTAGTTGATAACAGTGTGAGGGAGGTTCATAAAGGGTAAATAAATAGCTGGAAATACTATAAGAACTATCTCGCGTCTACTTTGCGATTTTTCCTATTTCACAGTCTTGGAACGTAACTACCACGATAAGAGAGGGAACACTGTAGTTTAATCCTGAAAGATTTTGAACAATAGAAGAAAATGAGTTTCGACCAGGAATCAAACCACTGACCTTCTTTCTACAAGGCAGTTAACACTGACTCTAGTTCACCAAACATTAAAACTTAACGTCACCGTCGTGGTCGTAGCCAATTGGACGGATCATAACGACTCCACAAACCTAACAAGCTCTACAGTTATTTCCAGCTTGGAGTTTTGCAGACGTCTGAACGTTTGACTTGATGCCAGTCAAACCGTTGACATGGCAACGTCTGTCCCTCAGTCATGTCCTCATCACAGAGTCCAGGTTTCAGGTCATTATCATCAATTTGTCCAGAAAAAGCCACAGGACAGAGCAGGGGAATAACACGAGGTGTCCGTCATCTTTGAAGGAGAACTGCTGAGTCCAGAGTCTGAGGCTGTGGTGACAGCTTCAACTGTCAACTCACACACACATAACTGCCAATCATCGTAGAAAGTGCATGAATGTAAGCGTTTTCAAGAAAAAGAGAAGCAGGAAAAAGGAAAAGGCCCAAGAGAAAACAAACGGGACTGAAAGGACGAGGAGCGAACCCTTCAGACTGGTGACAGTTGACTGAGGAATGAAAGCTGACTCAGCAGAAATCACTGGCCTGTGTGGGACAGAACAGTCACTCCTGGGAGTAAAGCTTTATTTGTCAGTTTATTCATTTTCACACACTAGAAAAACACATGACAAAAAGCCACTAGCATGAAGAAACAAACTGTTGGAGATAAGTGTTAATGTAAGAGCAGCTACTTGTTGTAATGGAGAAAAATAAAAAGAAATAGCTAAATCAAAACCAGCTACAATTTAGACCAGGAGTACATGAAAGATTAGAAAAAAAATAAAAAAAATTGCTGTTTGGTTTTCTGGCCACAAGTAACAGAAAAATAAGTCATTAACACATTTAACCTAAAAAAAAACAAAAGTATTGGAAACTTTAGTGCTAAAAGTAAACAAATATTAAAAAGGTAGCTAGAAGGTTTTGCAAAATAAATCATCCAAAACCTGAAAAAGATTAATTAAAAAAAGGCAATAAACAAATAAGTGAGTTAAAGTGATGTTGAAGGATCGACCCCTGAAGCTGTATAATTTCAAACTGACAAAAACAAAATAAATAAATGTTTAAAAAATGATTGTAATTTATTCAGATCTGATGTTTGTTACATAGAAATCTAAAGAAAAATAACCCTGGATTTGGCCAAAAATATTGGAAAGCAATTAAAGTCTTTTAGTTTCATCAACAATTGAGTTCAAAATTTAAAACATCTTTGCATAAGTTTCATTAAAATGATTTTTTTTTTTATAGATTTTTGCATCTAAAGAAATCTGCTGTAACTATCAACAGTTTTCCAAACTGCTCATTAGAGTTGGACGTGTCCCCCGTCCTCCTGCTGCTGCCACAGTCTCAGTTATGTATGACTTATGTCTGAGTTATGTCCACGCTAATCTGGAGAAGCAATAAGACACAGGACACCAGAGGCATCTGCTCTGTGAGGCAACAACTGACCCTGGAGTCTTTACCACTTCCTCGTTTACCCAGATGAGGTTTCAGCCCTGATTGGCTCACACATCAGTTTAATTTGACAGAGCAAACTCCTTCAGTCCTGACACTGGACACTGGGGACTGTTTTTAAACCCAGACACTGCGCTCACAGCTTTTAAAGGACTTACGTCTTTTTAAGCTAACGTCATCAGTGTCCCAATTACAGACGAGCACCCTGTCGTCAACATTCTGGAGGTAATTAGATTTTTTTTTAAATAGCTTTATGCTAAAAGTAAAACTTATCACTGCCAAGAATGCTAAAGTTAACTGAAAGTCGAAGGAGAAATACATAAACACAAATATTGCACAACTTTAGCCAACAATGGTGCCTCGATACGAAAGCATCGTCATTGATATAAAAAAAACAAAAATTCAAAACCAAACCAGATGTAGACCACAGGAGGAGATCGTAAGAACAACAACAACAACAAAAAAAGATAAATCCAGATTGATTTGAACCTGAAGGTGACAGAGTTATTGGTGTCCCTCAGGGCTCAGTTCTAGAGCCACTGCTCAATTTATGTTGAATAACAACTTAGCACCGACAACCAATAAAGTAACATAAAGAAAAGGAGCAAAAATGAATCACCATATTTCACAGATTATAAGCCGCTCTGGCGTATAAGTTGGACCAGTGCCCTCTAGCGGCTGTCAGTGTGGGAATAACAAACGTAAATTCTCAGTTGTACAGGAGTAGCAGATACTGGTACACAAGCCTTGAGTGCCCCCTAGAGGCTGTCAGCGTGAAAATAACAAATGTGTGAAATTATATATTTTAATATATATAAGTATATATGCATACAAGTCACACCTGAGTATAAATCCCAAAACCAGGCAAAGGATGAAAAACAGTGCGACTTATAGTCTGGAAAATCTGGTAATTAATGATGAGACGTAGCAAAACTACAGGTGATAAACAATTAACGTCAGACAACAAACTAACCCAAAACCTTCTGCTTATGAAATGATAAATGCCGTGAGTTTTTGCAGTGGAGTTTGGGTGACATGGGTTTAAGGAGGTCATTTGAAGGCTCTGTGTTCCAAATAGTTTTACAGGGCACGACACCACACACACACACACACACACATATGTGAACACATTCAGTTTCACCCCTGTCTCATAAATCACTCAGTCCAGAGCAGAGCAGCAACTGAAGACATCGCTCTCCTCTACATTCCACCTTTACATTTTGCTCTCGTTGCTGCCCGTGTGGTTTCGGGGGGTTAGGGTTAGACTGATATTGTAGAGTGCTGACATTTTTCCTGCAGCTGCAGAAAGTGCAGGTTGGTCTGCCTTCAAGCTGTCTGCAGAGCAGACGACCATCATCGCGTCAGCTGAGAATTTCACCAGGACATCAACACAGTTGACACTGTACGAATACTGCTTTGAGCTTGAATATTATCTCATTAACAGACAGCAGGGTTTAAAAATAGGAGCAGACCTACAGTAGATCAGAATGACATCTGAATATCTGAATGCAAACATACTGATTAAAGGCAAGTACACCAAAAATACCTTCAAATACACAGTGAGTATTTTGTCAGCAAGGCCCAGCACTGGTAACTGTGCATTTTCAGTAGCAGGAGAAAAAAAAGAGAATTTATAAACAAGCTGAACGCAAACATACTGATTAAAGGCAAGCTCTCTGTCCCTCTCCCTCGCTCTCTCTCTCTCTCTCTCTCTCTTATACACATGTTTATGAAACTTAAGTCACAAGGAAAACTAAACCCTATAAAGCCATTTGTATCACATTTGCCACACAAGGTTCCGAACGAGAGAGTTGTCTTCAAAATATTATGGTCAATATTTGTTTTCAAATGTAAAACGAACATTGTTGTGAAGAAAAAACACCCAACGTACTAAATCAGTGGTTCTCAAACTGTGGTACGCATACCACCAGTGGTACGCGAGCGCTCTCTAGTGGTACACAAGGAAAATTCATATTTTCTCAGGTGGTACAGAGTAGAAAAAGTTTGGGAACCACTGTGATAGATTATACGAAGGAAATCTCGTATTACTGCTTTTTTTTAAATATTTTAATTTTGTTGTTATATTTATTAAACATAAATACAAAGTCAGTTCCAGAAAAGTAGAATTTTCTGGGGTTTTTACATGCCAAGCTTTACATGTATTTTTCATATTTATTGCAGCTTATCTAAGCTTAAATAAATCTGAGCTTCAGGACTTTTCAAAAACCCGCATTCAGAAGCCAAGGTTCAGCTCCTCTGTGCCGACCGCTAACGTAAAGTTGTTGGAGGTCGAATGACCCGCACGAGCATCTAATCAAGGTGAGGTTGAATTTTGGTTCCGTTCTGCGTCACAATAGTTACGACTGACCATAAACACACAGCGTCTTCAAATGGCTAAACACCAGGCAAAAATATCGAAAGGTAAACTAATTATAAAGACAACAGAGAAGCTAGGTGAGAAATGGCCTACATTTGATACACAATTAGTCAACTGAAGTTACATGGAGGTTCACGTTGTCTAGACCAGCGATCCCCAATCTTTTTTTGCGCCACAGATTTTAAAGTGTGGTGGTAAATAAAATGATACGACCGTCATTAAAACTGGTATTTTCTATATACAATAGTAAATGTTAGCCACGGTGTATTCAACTATATTAGCAGTCTCTTCATAACAGCAACGTTTGGTCTCCATGTGGCAAAGCCGTTTTGAAGTCTTCATCGTCTTACTAGAGAGCCACTCAGCACGTATTATGCAGCGTGGGCTTAGTGCGTGGGAACAACCCGTCGCAATAAATCCATATTTCCAGTTGGACTCCTGGAATTGTCTATTAAATCTAGCTTTCTTTTTCTTTGAAGACGGAGGCTCTTCCTCTGTCTCCTCATTGGCTCTTTTACCCTGTGCAAAGAAACTTTACAAAGACAGTTGTTTTTTGTTCATTTTGCTAGCGCGGTGGTTCTAATTTAGCGGTTCTTTCTGTGTGGCCCAGTACCAATTGACCCATGGACTGGTGTCGGTCCACGGCCCGGGGGTTGGGCACCACTGGTCTAGGAGACAGTAAAAGTTGTGCTAGAGACAATTATTGATTAGTTGCTCGCACCCACGTTACCCCAAAGGCAAGAGAGCTAAAGGCCAGTACGTCAGTGACTGGTGGTTACACGTGGGTTAAAGCAGCGCAATCGAGAGCAAATCTGACAACTTTTCTTTTTTCTCCTTAGAAATTCAGCAGAAACAGAGACCATTTCTGTGTTGATATCTTTATATTGAAATCCATGAAGTATACACAATGTGTTCTACACTGTTACAATTTTCTTTTCACACACTGACAACGTTGTTTGCTGTTTGTATGACGAAGCTACGTTTTGGCATTAAAAAAAAAAAAAAAATGAAACCAAACAGCAGTGTGACGGAGAAGCAAAAACAAACAAGGTTGTAGAATTAACGGTAGCAGAGCAGCAGGACGTGAAGGGAACATTAGTTCATCGTGAGACAGTAGAAAAAAAAACTCTCCAATGATTACTTCTTATTTGAAGGTTTGTTATGTACAGCCCAGAGCCTTCAGAGCTAATGGTCCTTTTCTGTATTTCTATCCATCAGGTCTCAACCTTTTTCTCCCAGCATCAGCCAATCACATTCCACCTTTGAGTTCATTCAAACTGACAGTAAAGTTTCTTTAGGGTTTTTAAAGAGTTAAACAGTTTTTTCTCTGTCTCAGTTTATAGACAATTGAGTTGTTGTTCCAAAAATCATCAAGACACGCACCGAAATCTTTAAAACCAGAAACAAGGATTTTTGAAATTACAATAAAACCTGATTTAGATTTGAAGCTTGTTAGGCCTTAATAATTACAGGCCTTCTGGAATCCTGTGACATGTTTACTTCCAGAGTACTCTGTGTATTTCGCCTTGTTTTCACATTAATTATTGTAAATATCCACATAAAGTTAGTTTAGATGCATTTTGTTATTTTGTCCAAGACTTTAGGATAAACTGCGTTAAAAGTTTTTGTCCCATATTTTGTACTTCATAAAAGTTCACTAAAGTAGAACAGACGTGTGGTTCTGTCCAGCAGGTCAGAAACCTGTTCAACTTCACTGATGTCCAGCAGGTCAGAAACCTGTTCAACATCACTGACACTGACAACAGACACCGACATCACACTGAAGCTGAGTTTCAAGTTGATTGGAGCTTTTCAATCCCATCCTGACTCAACAGTAACAAAGTCAACGGCAATAAAGAGTCAGAACAGAGTTTCCAGATGAGGCGGTCCATCACCGCTGTCTGCAGGGATTACTGGTCTACAAAAACAACTGGATGATAACAGTGGGACAGTAGAGACTGTGGGGAAGGAGCGTCCTGATTGGTCAGTCATGACATCTTGGATTTTTTCTGGACAAAAAAAAAAAACCTGATGTAGCAACAGTTTTTTCTGGACAAAAAAAACTAAACTAACTAAACTAAACATTATATGGTTCTGCTTTAGAATAACAGACTAAAGAATAGTTAAAGAATTTACTGACAAAAACAGTCAACAAATGGTGAGGACCCTTCAGACCTGATCATCGACTCACAGACTCCAAAGGTTCCGACATGGGATTTTCTTCAGCGTCTTGAACTTAAAACTGTAGCCACTTGTCCCCTTTACAGACTCAGTGTGAGTGGGACTCGTCGACTCGTCTGGTTTGACCTTGAATCAACTCTTAAGACTCAATACCATGGTTTGGAGATTAGGACTCAACTTAAAACAACTCCATCTGTGACTCTCTCTCACGACTCAAACACTGAGGACTCAACTGAAACTCCAAGTCCGGTGACTTGGACTATAACGTCTGGGTACTTGACTCAACAAGTCTCCATTATTTTTCTCCAGTAACTTAGATTCAAACCTAGAAGAGTTGACTCAGACTTACTTCAAACATGTTACCAAGACGACAAAAACAACTCGGATTGACTTGTGACTTGGACTTGAACTAATGGACTTGATTGTGACTTGGACTTGAACAAAAACATCAGGATATCAGTCTAGTTCTTAATGGGTTTTGGTATTTTGCCATTAAAAGTCCTAAGTATTTCAAGGTAGGTTCCTATTCCCAAAAAAAAAACTTGATGTGGAACTGGAGGGAAATGGTCAACTATTTAAACCGGAGGTATTTCCCCTAATGAACAGTCCACTAAGTGTTGTTCAGACGTACTTGAACATTACCATGGCATGTAGATGGACCTGACTCTGTCTGTGTGTGTGTGTGTGTAGTGGTACAAAGGTCTGAGTGGTAAACGTGGTTCTGTCAGTGGAGGTGAAAGTCCAGACAGCAGCTGGAGCTCAGAGGAAATGAGGAGGATTTGGATTCTGTGTTGAAATACAGCAGTAACTGCACTCTGAACCAGGGTTCATCAATGTTCTCACGTACCTCCCCTCCTCCCCCCGCCATCCCCACGTAAATCCACTGATTCAAAATGGATTCAAAAATAATATCGTATTTCAAGGCAGTTCAACTCAGTGACAATGTCTTTTAGACGAGAACGTAGAACATCTCTGTGAGACGTTTGAGCGGTCATCAAATTATTAATTAAAAGACAGAAAACAAAGAACGAGGGAAAACAGAAATCCTTAGTTTGGTGAACCATATATTTAAGGATTCATAAATAATGAAACTGTGACCAAGCACAGAATCGAGTACAGGGATCTGACCCTTCAAGTGTTTGACCAAGTCTTATAAGGAGCTGTCCAAATGGACAGGAGGACATGAATGTGATCTGGCCCACATTGGTCTTCAGGAAAATGTTTTTTCTTTAGAATATTTTGTGGTTCTGTAATGGTTTGGGGCTGCATTTCAGGCAGTGAGACTGAGAGAGGACAACTGGTCCAGTCTACTCAACAAATGCTGTGTTGAAAAATGAGGTTCTGACAAAGGAACGATTACAAGTATATTAGGTTGGTGAACGTTTTTCTTTTTCTGACTTTAAATATAAATATTTTATGACTGTAAGGGTCATGTTGAGAAAAATAAAATAAAATTACAAAATGAAAGTCGAAACGTTACGAGAAAAAAGTTGGAATTTTATGAGGATAAAAAGCCATAACATTATACGAATAGAGCTATAAATTGATCTGAAGATTAAAGTGGTAAAGAGATGATGTGTTTGGGAAAAACATACATAAAACATAAATGTACGACTTTTTCTCATGAAATTAGGACTTTTTACTCATACCTTTTACAACTCTTAAACGTTAAATTTTTCTCAAAAGTTTTTGACTTTATTCTCGTAACGTTTTGACTTTGTCTCGTAATTGTATTTCTTATTTAATTCTCAAAGTGGCCCATACACTCTTTTATATATTTTAAATTAGTTCCATTAAGATTAATTGTCACCGTCTGTCAATTCTTCTTTTTTTCCAGTTTATCTTTAAGTCAGGTTTGGACCGAGACTTCCACACACCGCTGTCCACACCAACGCCTGGCTTTAACGCTTTGGATTTCTACGTTTTCTCGTTGTGCCGTCGGATCCAAACCAAACAAACTCTGGAGCAGGTTTGATGTTTGAAATGGAAGGTGATGAGCGTTCCTACTGCTGTTTTTTTTTCTAAATTCAATTCTGTTTTCATATCCACCTTAAGATGAAGGCGTCGTTAGTGATTCTTCTTCTTCTCTTCTGCATCATTCACAAATGCTTGGACATTTAAGGGAAACTCCGCGGTTCTTTTTTCCATCACATGCGTCCATTCACTCGTCCACTCACTCACTCACGACTTTAGTGCTTTAACTTTTCCTGGGAATTCCGTACTCTGTCTCTTCCTCTTTCACACACACATCGCAACGTAAATTCAGTCAACGGTCGGTGCATTCAAACCTGGTCTGATCCAGACTCACGACATGGAACAAAAACACATACACACGCTCTCTTTACATAAGCACATTCCTATACACACATAGAAAAGAAAGTTATTGTTCAAGGTAAATTAGACAAAAAAAAACTCAGTCCCAGAAAGGTGGATTTCTCTCTCTCTCTCTCTCTCTCTCTCTCTCGTACCAAAAGAAAACAACGAGGGAGCGCTCGGTTTGTGCCAGTAGTTTAAAAGAGGAGCATGCAGAAGAGTCAGGAAGGACGGAGTGTTTCTCCTCTTTATCCCACCGTGTCCTTCCCTTTCCTTCTGCTGGTCTTTAACTTCAGCAGTACAAAGACAGGGTTCAACGATGAAGCTTTTTTTTCTTCTTTTTTTCAATTTTTCTTCAATGTCTTCGGATTGAAGGAAGCAGAGTGGGTATTTTTTCTTTTCGTTGGGGGCTGACGACACCGCTGTATGTTTGAGCTTCAACCCCTTCTCCTCAGCACGGTCGGCTGGAGTCATTCAGGGTGAAGAGGGTGAGGAGGTGACGAGGGGGGGGGGAGGGGGGATTAGGTCAGTAGGCATCAGAGCAGAGAAATGTAGTGAACGGTCATCCTGGGTTTTTAACAGTCAGTGTTAGAGTTACGGCCCAGTGGGTTAGGGTTTCAGGGGTCTGCAGTTTTCAGTGCGCTGATCTCCAGACCTGGTCTGAATTGAACTGGCCTAACAGAGAGGGGGTCTCATTAGGTGGTCTCCTTGCCCTGGGTGCCCGTGACAGTTTTGATGGAGCTGAGAGTTCGGTTGAACCAGGTTTTCTTGGCGGCCTGGACCTCGTTCAGGGCCAGACCCAGGTGATGCTCCAGGTCCTGTAGGAAAAGGAAAGAAAAACACAGAGGGAGTTTAAATGTTGTCAACGTGACTGTAAGTAAAGGCAGCAGGTTTTAGTCACCAACTAAAAATAACAGCAGTACACTTGGATAAACACGACCTGAAATACAGGTCTGAGACACAAGATGACTCAGGAGGGTCACGGAGCACCATCAGAACTTTACCTCCATCAGACTAGGAGTTTTATCTTTACAAAAACTACGAGGAGTTAAAAAAAAGAGAATATTTGTTTAGCTTCTTAAAAATATGGAGGACTGAAAGTGCCAACAATAAATAAATACATCATTATAACAATTAAAAATATGACTATAATTACTTCCTTTTTTATTATTAAATAAGTTGTTAATTCATTAAAATACCAATTATTTTACGTAAAAACATATAATTATTTCTCTTTTTAATTAATTGTTTCATGGTCCTGTGTTGCATCATGAAATAATTTTATCTGTGAAACTTGCCCATCAAAGTCAGTGGGCGGGGCTAACGATGATCTAATCTGATCCATTGGTCTTAAGTGGCTTGACTGGAGGTCAATGGAGGACAGTGACCTGGTGAGAGACATTTTAGACCAAGCACATGGTGTGGAATAAGGACCTGCTGACCCAGGGTGTGCAGCTAATACAGCAAAATAACGCAGTGTCAGAGAGGACCACCAGGGGGCGCATGGAACAAAGAGGTTTGAGGACACCGTGAGTTTTGCAGTTTGACCAGCTGGTAACCTATTAAGAACCTGATGTCCCAGAGCTGCACCGGCTCCTGTGAGTGTTGTCCCTGTTGTGTCCTGGTACTGGTTTGCAGTCACTCTGCAAGTAAAGAACTGGTTGGAATCCTAGTTTCAATAAATTCTTCAGCTTCGTTAGCTACATGCTCTCGTCCACATCCTCTGCTCGATCTAAAATGTCTCTCACCAGGTACCGACAAAGTTTATTGTCCTCCATCGTCTCTCTCCAGTTCACTCTGCTTGGATCAGACTAGACTAGCATTAGGCCCCTTAACTTTGATGGGTGAGTTTGACAGATAAAATGAATTAATGATGCACTGGACACAGGACCATGAAACAATTAAATAAACAGTGACATTTTTCTATGTTCTTTACTTAAGATAAATTGGTATTCCAATTAAAAATTACAAGCAATTATTTAATTATATATTGACATACAATAAATATGATATTTTATGTATTTAATGATGAAACTTTCAGTCCTCTATATAAAAATGCCTGAATTTGAAAATATTATGACACGTGGTGATGAGTTTTTATTCTCATTAATAATGACTCATGCATGCATCCTTCCCCATCAGTCGTCTTCATGGTTGACAGTATTCAGTCTCACCTGGATTTTACACTCAGCCTCCACCAGCTGCAGTTTGGTCTGAGCCAGTTCCAGCTCCATCTCCCTGAGCTGGTTCTTCAGACTTTCCTTCTCCTCGTCTGTCTCCTCCGACCCTCCGGCTGTAGCTGTGGTCACCGTGACCCGCACACGACCCTCTTTGTTGAAAAGACCGCTACACTTTTCACAGTTTTCCACTTTGGACTGTAGGAAATGAGAAGGAGAAAAGAAGAAATAGTAAAGATGGAGTTCAGGGGAAAAAGACTTTTCTTAACTTTAACAAGTGACGCTCTGCTGCTGGAGCTTTGGGAGATTAGAAAAGGAACAAGAAGGAATGAGAGCAGAGGCAGGAAGAAAGATCAAGTCCAGATAAAGATATAGCCTGTTATCTCATGACGGAGGGAAAATGTTAACTCCGGGCTAATTTTGAAGGAAACAACCTAAATTAGGAATGAAGTCAAATAAATGATTCCAGTAGAGCAGAAAGTGGAGCAAAGTTAATCAATGAGGAGGAGCTTCTCCAAAGATCTGTGTCCCAGTTATAGTGGACACTTCTGCCTGGACCCAGGATATATTTCCACTGAGGCACTAAATTGAACTCTGGACGATGGAACGAGAATAGAATGAAGCAAACAGAGACTTTTCTTTCTGGCCATGTTTCCTCTAAACAGGACTAAACTCCATGTACCATCTCTGAAAATGTTTGTCTCTTCAAGAACCAGCAGAGCAACCAATAATGAGATTATAAAATTATTAGCAAATGTATCAATAAAGACTGGTGAAGGCTGGATCCGATACTCAGGATTGGTCCGATATTGGTTAAAAATATTAGGATCAATCTTTGCCAAAAACAACTATAGCGTGTCCGATTTGATACCTGAGCACAAATGCTCGACTTAACTTTGAGCGACGTGCTGTTTACAGGGACACTGTCACTTCAGCAACAGCAGACTGCGGCATGATGAAGAAAATATTGATATTGGTATCGACAGAAGTTGCAGTATGGTATCGGACATGTCATAGTTGTATCAAGCTATCACTAATAAAAACACACCGTATAATGCAGTAGTACTACAACTAGAGCTGTAATAAATAATAATGCTAATAATGTTAGCATATGAACACCCCATTTGTCTAGGGCGCCACCTGCTGAAGGCAGCAATAAAACAGTTACAGTTGGTAGGGGTGATATGGGGGGGCACGATCACACCTAGACAGAATAATACCCAGAGCCAACTCTGTGCACACATGTGGACAAACAATCAGTGCAGGTTAGAACACATGACTGTATACATGCTATTTAACAACTGTGGCTAACCTAAGAAAACACTCCAGGAAGTGGCATGGTACGTGTCCCATTGTTTGAGAACCAACACTCTAAACTGGCCCACTATTGTGTTCAATCCGGCCCACTTGATGAATTTCGAAAATTAAAAAAATACACAAATACTTAAAAGTTCAGGATAATTTTTGCAAAATTATATTTAATTAAGTATGAACAAAAAAAAATAAAGATTTGATATACTTATACGTTTTTGCATTAAAACAAAGTGCAAAGTTAATTAGGTTATGATTGCACTGGTCTGGCCCACTTTATATCTAATTAGAGTGGTATGCAGCCCATTAACCAAAATAAGTTTGAGATTCCTGGTTTAGAACTCTGTTACGTGTTTTTAAACCCAATCCAGCCCATGACTGGAATCCAAAACAAACTTCAAATAACAAAGCTAGATTTTTTTTTTTATTATTTCAATTTATCTGAGTGTCTGGCGCCCAAGGTGTGTGTCTAGAAAAGTATGTGTCCCTCTGACAAATATAGTTGGTGACCAGACTTGATTGATGTAGCTCTGACCACAGCACAGTAGAGGCAGAAACAAATGTGTTCCCAGGTTTTTTTAGTCAACATTCCTAACCCTTTAACACCAAAGTAAATGGGTCTGTGGCTGGGTTTGAAAGAACATACAGTTAAAAAAACAGTCTTGACTGTTTGCTTCAAAGAAAGGGTTGACAGCATGGTGCTGGTGAGTTTACAATTTTAACAATAAATGTTTCATTAGAATGTGGCGTTGTCTTTTGGAGTTAGGTGTCAGCTGTGTTTACAGGTAAATAAAAAACTATTTACACATTATGCTTCTACAGCTGTCAAACGGAGAAGCTGTGAGCACTAATGCAGCAGCAGAGAGCCGGAGCTCAGAGTGTCTGTCACCACACTAAATACCAGAGGATTTGTTATCGGAGCATTTGCACACTGCACATCACTGTTGTCCTGCAGAGAGATGAATTACCTTTGTTGCACCATTATTGGTAACAAAAAAGCTCTCTCTCTCTCACACACACAAAGACCCTGCTGCATCCTTGTAAAGGACTTGTCCTTGGCATGATGAATGTTTTATGAGCCTTTCTGAGTCTTTGCGCAGTCCCGATACTACTTTCTGCCAATGTAGCTTTTATTCCTGCTACAGTCAACACAAAGAGTCCACGAGCCAAGAGTGCAAAATACTCTGCTTACATTTGCAACTTCAACAAAGAAAAAAAAAACAAAACAAAAAACGGTGATTTTATCTGTCACATTACAACTTCTGATATCTGCATCTGCTCATTCAAGGCTCTGCAGAGACGTCACAGTGCAGTGTGTAGTGTGTGTTTTCAAAACTTGTCCGTATTAAACTACTGCTGAGAGAAAAACGAATGAAAGAGGATCAACGTGTCTCCACATCTGTGAGGGTCAAGGGTTGCTGTATCCTCTCTGTGATACCGTCCTGACATATTATACTAATGTGGGACCAGCACCTACATTCTGGAAGGACTAGTACTGCACATTCACTCCTCAACCAAAGTGCACAATCTAATCCATGTGGGTTTGGATCTCTAGTCAACCAACTTGGATGCAATAGCAACAAAATCTACTAATGCCCCTTTTAATGCCCCCTATTTTCACCAATCCCATGAAGTCTCTCACATGCTTATGTCCCACTCAACGTCATCTCATCAGTGCAGCTCTACTCCAGGCAGATTACTGATGCCTTCTCTCTGAGTTCTTTTTCAAACTCAATCTACGCCATGCTATTCATGTTGCTTTCATGATGTTTATTTTGAAAATCTATTGTGAGCTAAAGTGGACAGTTTGGAGGCCCAGATTTGTCACACGACCCTCCAGTTGATGATCACTGTCTTATATCGTCTTCTTCTTAAAAGGAAAAACTTCTTTTCACTATTCCACCGTGTTACCCAGATCATTTTGTGAAAATATTTCTTGTAGCAATTTTGTTAAAATTGTGTTCCAGTTATTTTATTCTTGCAGCCACAACAGAAAACAAAGAAAGTAAAGGAAGAGATAAAGAACACGACAGACGTCACTCACCCTGATTTTTTCAAGCTCTCCTCTGTTGGCTGTCTGTTGTTTCTCCAGCCTCTCACTCAGCTGGGAGCAGATCTATAGGAAGAAATCAAGAAATGAGTTTGACTTCATCCAACCGATAGTTGACTCGAACCCTCAGTGTGAAGTCTGTTGTTTCTTCAATGCAGTCAAAAACACGGTACGAATCGACACTTTCAGATTTTTATATTGGATTCTTCTTTGTGATTCCAGCTAAATCAGTCTCAGTGGAGAAAACTCTGACGACGCTGAAGTCTAAATGTCCATCAGTCGTGTCATCATGTCATATCATCTTATTACAGCAGTGGACTGATGGGTACATTAGTGCAGAGGTTCCCAACACCTGGTCCGGGGACCAGTGCCGGTCCATAGATCATTTGGTGCAGGGCCACAGTGAAAAAATGTACTTCAGTTTTACTAATTTACTTCATTCAAAAAGAACCCAGTTATATCCCTTTACTTTTTTCATTAAAGATAATCTGTCAATGTTTCAAAACAGCAGGTCATTCAGACTCTTTATTTTGAAAATTTAATGATCCTTCAACAATGATTGGGTATAAATGGTCCGCAGTAACTGGTTGATACAGGTCGACTGGTCCTTGGTACAAAAAAGTTGGGGGCGACTACATTAGTGTACACATGCATGTAACAGACATGCATCAAACAACAAAGCCATCACTTGTCATCAATGAAAAAAGATAAAGTTCTCCAGTAGTATTTCACTAGGGGAATATTTAAAGATACACCCACGTAGAATCCACCCACGTAGAATCCACCCACGTATCGTGACCAGACTGTGGTTGGAGATCGCTCAATGAGCGTGGTTAATGGAATCCCCCGATGGCATAATCTAAAGAGCACCCCCCCTAGGCAGCCTGTGTGAAAACTGGCTGCCATGACTCTCTAGTACATGGGAAGGAACAGTGATTGTGTTCTGCTCTTTGCTGTCACAAAATACCATTGGAGCTAGAAAATACTTATCTTATCACAATGCCATATACTTCACAATACACCAAGACACATTCCTTCAGATGAAATATTTGAAGCATGATTCACACTAGACGGATGAAAAGGAAGACATTTCTCACATGTTTTAATATAACCACTGGTGTCAAAGATTATTATTATCTATATTCTTCTTATTTAAGGAGAAGGTGAAGCCTCCTCGATCAGGTGTGCGTGTTAAATCTGTTTTATATACTGAGTGAACAGTTGAGTTAAGTCTCACCTCCTTTTTTTTTTTTTTCAAACCGTGTTTTGACTTTTATTTCAACTTTATGTCTGTACAGTGCCAGGGTTTTTTTCCCCTTCCTTATCTGTAGGCTGAAGTCTCTGTCACTGATAATAAACTGGTCTTGGTTATGAATGTTCCAGCTGGAGAGTCAGAATTCACTATTTTTGTTTTTGTCTTTCTTCTCATTCCAACGTCTTCATCCCAAATAATCGAAGCCTTTCATGTTAAACAATTCCACTGAATAATTCAACCAGTGCGGCTCCGGCTCTAACGCCGGCGGCCGCTTCTGTTTCCACTGTGAATGCAAACATGCACTGCATCTTGCAGCTGGACGCCCGTCGGAGGGAAACGGTGTTAATGATGACTGAGAGGAGATCTTAATTATTTAAGAGATTGTGCATAGAAAGGCACACTGTACATGAAAGATGGCCGTGCCCTCAGAGAAGGTTTGTGACGACTGCAGTACTCAGCTTCCTCCTGCAGAGCTCTGCTCGTTACCACTGTCATCACAACTCAAAACAATAATCATTTCATTATATCTGTTAATTATGGATTGTTTTTAACAATGAATAGTTTTGGCCTTGGGATTTGTTTTGGAACTTGGAGTTGAAGGAATGCTGTGATGTAATTATTTCTTGCAAGAACAAAGCAGTGTCTGTGAGCGCCACGTTTTATTCAGGGAACGGAACGTCTCCAATTTTTGTCATTTGATGATAGATTGTCATCTATCATCTACTCGTACATGAATTCTCACTTCCTCCAGGAAAAAAGTTCTTCTTTTAAAATGCAATAATACACTACAACAATATACAGTATAACTAAATTAAAGGTCTCTAGCTGGCTGCACAAAATCATGACGGGTGAAAACACTTTCCTTTGTATTTGAGTTTTAATGGCGTACATCGGAATGATGTAACAAGACTTCCTTAATAAATGCATAGTAGACTATGACATGACCACGAAACACCGTAGGTCGAGGACATCGTAAACCGAGGACCCCTTCTACGTCTCTTCTTCTGGTCCACCTTCCTGTCAGTTCCATCTCCAACATCCTTTTTTTGTCCACTATCATTCCTATCTATTCACTATGTCCCCTCAGCACATGTCCAAACCATAGTACCCTTATTTTCTAACTTTATCTCCACACCTTAGCTGTCCTGTCCCTCTGGCCTGCTCTGTGCTACAACTGTCCACGGCCTGGTCACTGTCCAGCCTCTTTATCTCCGTCACCTCTGGTTCTGACTCCTATCTTCTGCCACTAATTGCTGGCTCCGAAATTTTTTTTTTGCTGCTTTCTAATCTGCAAACTTCAGGCTTCACAGGATGTCAGAGAATGTCTACTAGGGACTTCAGGCAACTGAAGCAAATGGCACGTTCAAATGTAGAATCTGAAGGTCCATGTGTTTAAATATAGAATAATGACTGGGCCTGTGTGTGTGTGTGTGTGTGTGTGTGTGTTACCTGGCAGAGCCGTCTCATCTGTAGAGACTCTGCTCCTTCACTCAACACTGCTTTTTCTGTCCATTTGAGCAAGCAGCCAAATTTGCTCATAAATGGTTTTGAGCTATAATTTAGGAAATGTGCTTTTATGGTCAAAGAGTTGGGGAAGTTATATTTAAGACTTCTCCCAGGTTATATTTGTGATAAGAAACCTAAAAAACAATCCCTTTACTCGTCAGTCCAAAAGGACTTAGAAGTCTCCTGTCTCCTCCTGAACAGACCTCTTTTTTTCTGCCTCGTTTTTCTTCCGTCATCTTCCCCTCTCTCTTCCTGACACGTAACTATTTTTGATGAAAACCCCATTTTCACACTTAGCTCTGTGTGGCGCAGCTCTCAGCTGCATGCCAACAATCTGGAGGCAGTTTTCAGCCCGAACAGATGCACAAACAGAGATCCCTCTAAAACCTGCTCTCTCTTTCTGTGACAGCTCTTGTCAGCAGGTTTCAGATCAAATCCAAATATTTTTAGACTGAAGTAAAGTTCAGGTCTGGTACTAAATTATTTCCTTGTTATTTTTGTCTCTAAGGAGACAAAAAGGAGCACTTTTACATTTGTAGTTTCTCTGTGATGACGGTAATAATCCTGGATAGGTTGATATTTATGGATTGTACAACAGGAGGAGATATGAAAGGATTAAAAATCACAGAGACAGGAACTCAAAATATGCACATGAGCTCAGAAATCAAAGGCTGCGGTTCAACCTGGGGACAGTTTATAAATTTAGATCTTTCTGCAGCACAGGCTCCACCAACCCATGAAAACAGCATGTATGGTATTATTTTAACAGCGTTAAATGAAAACAGCATGTATGGTATTATTTTCTTTAACAGCAATGTTCTGATCAAAGCTGAGATATGAAAGAATTAGATTAGATTGAACTAACTCAATAACCTCTGACAAAGCTCAAAAACAACATATACAACAGAGTCAGAAATGTTTAAGTATCAAGATGTGCCATGAGATAAATGAATTTGGTGAAAAACCTTTAAATTATGACACAATGTTTGGGAAAAGTATACATTACATATTTCAACAATACTGTCTAAAATCTAGTAATGCATGAGTAAGGTATTTGGAAATGCAAAAATATAGTATTTTTGAATTATAACCATATGTTTGAAAAAGCCTGCCATACTTTTAAATATGCACCTGCATCTATTGATCAAACTGTCCAATTCCTTTTTGCTTATTTTGACCTTATACACACAGCAACCCAACTCAGGTCAGCCATCTTAAAATATTATATATAAATAAATAAATCTGTGGCTAAGCTAGCAAGACCAGGACCACTGTCCTTGTATTTCTACATTCTGAACAAAATTTCAACTGCTTTGAAACATGGATCACCAACATGAAACATCAGACATTTTTTCTAGGATTAGATTTGATATTTAACGCTGCAGCCCCTACAATAACTGTCCATCCTAGGCAGGTGGAGCAGATGACCTACCAAAGTCGGTTTCCGACCAACCAAAAAGTTTGTTTCTGACCATCAGTTATACATCATACCATTACTATACTATTTTACATCATAGATCTCACTACACAACTGTGTGGATTTGTATCAAAGCTCAGTGAGCAGATTTGTTTTATTTCCTACAAGAGTTTAAATTCATGGCATTAGATAGTAATAAAGAATTAAACTCTTTAATGCAGCCTCTTAACTCTCTGTGCTGTGACGTCAACTGTGACTCATCCACATCTAATTTGTCTTTCGTACAGACACTGGTTGTCACAGCTTCAGGATTGATTTTTTTTTTTTTTTAAAGAGATTTTATTGAATGCCTTAAAGGCTCCTAATGTCCTCAATTCCAGCTAAATTTTATATCGTTTGAGCTCGGAAAATAAAAAGACCTGAATGTAGTTTAAAAGAGCAAAGTGAAGGTCATCAGAGTGCCTAACAGTCCAGGTATTCTGTGGACGTATTATTTAATTTACACCATGAAATCACATCATCTGGGTAGGAAGTACACACCTGCTTGTACTCTCCAATAATGGAGCCGTTCTTCTTGATCTCCGACTCAGACTTATCCAGCTCACGTCTGCACATTTCCTTCAGCTGTAAATACACACACATACACTGAGTGTTAGGATGTTTGAGGGCAAAGACCAAGGACAGGAGCAGAGCCACATGACACCCCCAGAGAGTGTGTGAGTGTGGTGAAATGTAAAGACGAGGGGAAGGGGGCCGAGGGCAAAGTCACACCCTGTGTACAACCTCCGAGCAGGAACATCATACATCATTGAGAGCTACATCTACATACTTTGGAAGACAGGAGACATTTGGAGGACAGTGAAGACACGGGGGAGCAGGTCTGTCCTCGGACCCTCAGGGGATTCTTCACTCAAGTCAAAGTATTGACATCAAAGGTGAAAGAATGTTCTGTGAAGGTTTTACTGCCGGAACTGTGTGAGTGTGTGTGGTGGTCGAGGAGGAAGGCTTCACCTTCTCCTTCAATAAGACATTTAGACCTTTAGAATATATAGGTAAAATTAACTGAACATACATTTATGACTGCGATTAATGGAGCCAACTCTGCAATCCAATATTTGACAAACTGACAAAAAAAATCAGTATATTGCTGGAACAGAAAGTCAAATAACATCAGGTAGATGTTTGTGTTTGAAGCCTTCACAAACACATGCTAGTCATTGAGATGGTATTTGAAGCTTGAGGTGATTCATGAAACTAAAACCTTCTAGAGCAGTGTATGTAAACTACATATTAAAGCAATGAGGAGTGTATGAAGAGTGGAATTATTGGCTTGATGGTGTGCCTGCCTCTGCCCGTGCGATTGCATTTAGAAAATCAACCAGTCATTTGATTAAAATACTGACAAAGTGTTAAGGTCCATTTCCTGTTTCTGGTTTAGTCATATTCTATACATCAATTCAATGTAAGGTCAGTACTTTGACCTCAGACCAACAGAAAAACCAGGCTCTTTGTTAAAGAAACAACATAATCGATCACCACAAAAGAAACAAAATGTCACGTTCCAGGGGAATATGTTAAACAAACCCACAACAAAGCAGAGCTCGTGGCCATTTCTTCTACATTTTTAAAGCTAGTTTTCCAGACTAACCTTCTGTTGCTGCTATATTTTGATGCCGGTTTAGCAATTTCTGTGCTATTGGTTATTTTAAGCAAGGCATATATCATCGGTATATATAGTATTAGCTATTTTGATCTTGCCTTGGGCACCAACTGTAAATATCAGGCTAGTTTGGCGCTGAAGTTTATGTGCTTCTGAAAATACTTTCTGGTCTACTGAATAACTTCATTTAAATTTTATTTATCTTCTTGAATTAGCGCATGTGTCAAACACAAGGCCTACAGGCTGAATGTGGCCCACCAAGTCATTTTGTGTGGTCGAAAACATTTTTATCAGTATTTTCTTTTTAGCAAATACTAGAGAACTTACTTAGACCAACCCTATTTAAAGTCTAGGTGACCTCACTTGGGTTCGCAATCCCAAGGTTGAAAACCACTGATTCATGCATTCTTCCAGACACAACCGGCCCTTGTAGGGCAACTATTTTGCTAATGTGGACCCCAGCGAAAATGAGTTGGACACCCCTGGATTAAGGTATCAATTTTAAAAGCATCTCATTAATTTGTAAATATGCAAACATCACAATTTCACAACCCAAAGGTGTGGTCCATATTATATACATGGTCTATAATCATGACCCTGGTAGTCAATGTTAGTGTCATATCAATGAGCTGCTACAACTGCTGACACCAGCTCATATCACCTACTATGTATTTTTGTTTATGTATGAGGTGGTTTTTATTCTGAATGTTGACAGAATGTCGAATGTTGTCCCGTCAGCTCTGACCTGTGCGGACTCTTCCTCCAGTCGTCTCTTCTCGTCCTCAGACTCCACCAGTTTCTGTTTGGTCAGCAGTAACTCCTTGTTCAGGGCGTCTGCCTTCTCTTCAGCCTGACACACCATCATACACACACACATACACATACAGTTAGACACCAAAATAAATCTAAGGCAGTGTAAGCTCACAGTTGTGCTTATGTTCCTGTTGCAAAAACAAACTCTTCCTTCCTTGTAATGTGCTACTTCTGTTGCTACAAGAAACCCTCGCCTGGTAGCTCTGTTTACAGCAGCAACCACCAAAAGTCACATTCACAAGAAAAATTGCCGAAGCATTCTTTCTCTTCAGCTTACGTTGTCAAGGTCTTTGCGGAGAGCTATCTTGCTGCTGACTAGTTCATGTGCCAGGTCGTCATTCTCCTGCTCCAGGCGCATGTTGGCCTCCTGCAGTCGCCGGTTCTCCCTCTGGATACGGAACAAGAGAGGAGGAGAAGAGGTGAAACAGAGGAGTAACAGAAAAGAAACGATGAGGAACAACAGCAGAAGGACAGAGGAGTGAACATTTATACAAATGGAGACAGAGGAGAGTGGAGATCGTGAGGACAGAGAAGTGAGGGGATCTACAGTAAAAGAGGAAGAGCATAATCTCTTCCTGCCTGTGATTCACCACAGAAGGACTGAGAGACTGTGGGGCAGAAAGTGCAAAAGAGTCTCTATAATGTTTAACTTTTTGTAACACATTTAACAGCAACAAGCATAAAGTAAGGGAGAAGTAACAATAACAAACTTCAGTGTTCAAAGCAAAAGTAGCTTTAAAAGCAACAGCAAATATACTGTACATTTCTATGCAAAATATTTCAGGACTGTGTTGACATCTATCTTGAACATGTTACTTGTTATTGTCATTAAGAACAAAAAGATAAATATGTGACTCATAATGGCTTGAACATAATGTAGAGTGATGAGAATGCAAAACCAAAAACAAAAAAACAGGGAGGGGAGAAAACGTTATTCTGAGCCATTCAATTTAACTGGATCAGTCACTGTCATGGATGAACTCTGTTGGACTGTATGGCATGTGAAAATAAAGACATTTGTCTTTTAGAAGATGTACTTGAACCTTAACTGCAAATGCACCGTTTCAGTTGAACAGAGTAAAAAGTTCCCACGACTTCTGGAGAAGAACTTTTTGACTTTTAAAAAAGTTTTTCTTGAAGGAATGGTAGAAGGTGGGGGGCTGAAATTTTAAATGGTGGAATTGAGAGACTAATCGTTATTAGATGCATTATATTTTTTATATACTGTATGTGGAGCGTGTACATATATAGATGTTTACATATCTTATGTAGATATATAGAACTGGAGTAGAACTGTATTTCTCAGTTTGTATTTGCATATCTGCTACATTTTCGGTACAAAAAGTACCATTTTGTTTTTGACATGACAACAAATGCCAAAAATGTCAGTACACAAAGAGCATCAGTTCTGCAATCTGTACCTCATATCTTTCAATGGGGGCCTCCTGCTGCTCCTGCTGCTCCCTGATGGTGTGATACTCCTTCTCAAACTTCTTCAGCTTCTTCTGGCTGATCTGCTGGGTAGAAGAAAAGAGACCTGAACGAGGATTCAAGTGTCTGGTGTGTGGCCTGAAAAGCATGGATGAAATTATGACTGACTCATGTTCTGATTTCTGCTTGTAGCTTCTGTTTGTGAAGATGAAGAATGAAAAAGAAAACCACATGTACAATTGCAACTGTGTTGATTTTTTTAGCATTAGAGGAAGAAAAGCTACAAGAAGAGATAGAAATGAAAGGATAAGTTATGTGTTGAGCTCCCTAATGGCACACAACATTTATGTGTGTGATCAGTTTCACTAAGGAAAGACTCTGCAGTTAGGTTAAATCTTCATTTGAGCAGCTTGTATTTTTCATCCCGTTAAATCAGATGAAGCACACTGCAGAGATTCCAGGTGCGCCGCTGCTTCTTTATCAAATCAAGTAAAAAAAAAAAAACCACAGAGCAGCTTTCAGTTACACAGCCACTGTCACATTCACTGCTACAGCTGCACCTCAATAAACACACACACAGAAACACACACACACACACACATATACACAGTGCATTTAGACAGCCTCATCAACGTGCCTTTCATTGCAAAATCACTGCCTAACACTGGGCTTTTTAAAATGCACCCACTGCACAATGAGGACTCTGTGCCTGAAAGTCAATATATATACATACATACATACATATGTGTGTGTGTAATATAATATATGTATATATGTAAAAATATATATTTAACATATGTATACACGTTTACATATATATATAGACATATACATATGTATATAAATTTGCATACAGTACACGCATATATACGCAGTACTCAGATGTGGAGAGGAGATTCAGATGATTTAGACCAAAGTGCATTACAGACTTCACACAAGTCCTTTAAATGCTCAACAATTCCCCTTGCAGAAAACTGCACCAATTGCTGTCTTCTGTTCATTAACCTTTAAATAGTGCAGGTAGAATATATGGAATGTGACCCAGAGCACCTTCCTTCACCTTCCTTACTGTACCCACAAATACAGTAAATAAATAAAGAAATATATAGCTCACACAATACAGCATCTGCTTTCGTATGTACCAAGTATAAAGTCGAGAAGTGAAAAAGGCAGACATTATTAGTCAAATTATAAAGAAAATATTGAACAAAAAAAACAAACAAACAAAAAAAACAAAACAGAAGATTTATGATGTTCATTAAAAATTCCCCATGATTATTTGCATACTTTTGCTTTCAAAGTGAAAGGTTTGGCAGACGAGTCGAGAGAGCAGGTGTAACAGCCACACAATAAGACAATATAAATGACTGTGGTCTCATTTCCCCCTGAAGATAAAACAGCAATAACATTTTAATGATCACTGCACTCAATGACAGAGAGAGAAGTTTTAGACTTGTATAAAACCGATATACAATCCTTTCTCTGCTCCGTATCTGAGACAGGATACCTTTCATGCAGATTGTGGATTCTCCCCCGTGAGATGGACGATGCAGCAAAGACAAAAATGAACACCACCTGGGATCAAGGACTCTAATCATTTTTATCTTGTAGCCTCTGGTGCGTAAGCAACATTTGAAGAAATAAATCAATAAAGCTAACAGGGTATCTGTCCATCATTTTCTGCTTTTTAAGTATTAAATGTACATTTATTTACCCCGGGGCTAGTCATTTACACCTACGAGAGAGGTGAATAAAGAAGGTGCCTCGCCAAGGAGGTTTGATTGAGATCAATTGCCATCGGTCAATAAGGTTACCAGTAATCATCGCTGAGTTAAAGCCCTCTTTAATGACATCCAGGCCAAGGATTAGTCCAATTTCAGTCACATTTTACCTGCAGCTCTTACAGCCCTCAGTGGGATCACCTTGTCAAATTACAGAATATTTTAATTCCTCCAGCAAGGTTATGGAAATAACTTCTAAAATATGCAACCCAGCTCACAGCAGATGTGTTGTTTCTGTGTAACATCAAGGATGCAAATATCATAGTGAATGTTTTGTTTACTTTTAAAATCTGTCATAAAATATTTTATCTGAGAATCACCAGTGCTCACCCACTAACAGACTGATAGTTTCAGTTGTTGGCCTGGAGCCCTGAAACACACCTCCTCCTCTCTGCTCGTCTTCTCTCCCCCTGGTGCTCACCTGTCGTATGAAGAACTAAAAACCTCATATCTCTGTCCATGTGCTCTCCTTTACAGAGTGTGTGCTCATAAATATCTGCTCAAAGTTACCTTCAAAGTTAGAACCTCCAAACTGGGCCAGACTTTTTCAAAACAGGTCAGGACACAGGTGTCTGTGTGTGCACACAAACAGTCCCTGTCTGAGTGTGTGTGTGACTTCGTGCATGTAGGATGATGTTGTAAAGGTCAACAGTGGCCCCTACTGGCATACAGCGGTGTGACTGAAATATTACTTTTTCTTATTTTTTTCCATTTAAGTGGAATATGGTTTTAAAAAAAATACCATCCTCCACATGAATCTAATCTTTTATGATGATTTCAGAAGAACCTCAGCCGGTGACCAATTGAGATTTTTGTCGGATTCTTTTCACACTAACCTTCATGCTACAGGCCAGCTCCATTAGCTTCTTTGCGTTCTCCTCAGAGCGATACCTCTTTGGGACCGGAACACGAAAGAACTTGAGTGCACCCTCAAAGTCCGTTTGGATCAGATCGTCTTTTGAGGTCTGAGGGAAAAAGGCAAAGCAAAAAAAAAAAAAGAAAGAAAGAAATTCATGCATGTGGGGACAGGGAAAAATGTTTTCCTTTTCTTTTTCCTTCCTTATTGTACAGGCATGGTTAGCTTGAAATGAAACACACCTTTAGAAGAGCCAGGGCTACGTTGAAGATCACACTGATGCCCTGGAATAAAGAAAGCAGAAAATCATGACTCAAGCGTTTAATAACACACCTTTATACTGTATAATATAATGAAATGTTAAATAATGTACAAGGAAAACAGGAAACTTTGAAAAATAAATGCTGTAAAAAAAATCTAGCATTCCTCCTATGACAGTAACAGCTTTTTGGATCTGTTACTATTGCATTTTTCTGAGCTGCAGTTTTTACTTACACTGCAACTTTTGTAAATTGTCTCATCAGTGGCTAGGGCTATAAACCTGGTTTATAATGCTACAGGTGCAAAAAGAGAGAAGAGGTTAGAGACATATTACCTAGGAATTGCACTGACAATTTCAGATTTGTTCAATCTCCTACTTGTTTCTCACTCTTCAACTCATAAAAATGTCAAACTCAAAGGTACATTTTAAAACCCAGTTTGAATGCAACTAAAATTGCCTGAGGTAGTAACAGCTTATTCCAGTAGAGGGCAGTGTAATTTAGTTCCACTTTATAACCTAGGTCAAATAGTACAAATTAAAACAGGTTTGTTGTTGTGCTGTTAGCAAGCAAGACATAAGATTTTCCTGGAGTTACCAAGCAGTATTTCATAGACTCTCAAAACCCTTTTCATCCTTGACTGGACCTTGAGGAAGTCATTATTTAATTCCTTTGGATACAGTCTTATAGTTACTACTGCGGTACATCATTTAAGTTGTATGATATATTTGATATATATATATGATATACTTTTGATATAATTTCTTATAGTTAATATCAACAATCTTTGCTGATAGAAATATCTATATGCTGTGCATGGTCTTTGTATCAGAGAAATATTTGTTTCTTTCCCACCTAGTCCTTCAAACATGTATTTTCATACATCTATTGCTCCCTCTTCTGATAAACCCCATGATTTAATCTCCTAAAGGACTCTGGGCACTTTAATTTACTGCAGACAAAGAAGACATTTTCTGAGAGACATCACAAAGATAGTCCAAAGTGTGTCAAGTATGAAAACCAGTTAAAAACTGCTTAAAATAAAATGCAGTGTTTTTAAAAAAATGTTATTCTGTATTTCTTTTGTCTGAAGATAAAACACGATGACCCACCTCACACAGTAGCAGGTCAATGATATGGAAGACCATGTAGAGAGGAAACTTGGCTGTGAAGAGGGTGAGGAACCATTGGGAGGCGTACATGTGAGCCTCCAGACCCACGTTCAGGAAGTGGTTGTAAAGGTCTGGAATATATTCCTGCTCAAATCAGAGGATGGAGAAATTAGTTCTAATTTTTTAAAAGAAGGTTTTTGATTGGCTTTAAGGGCAGAAGTACAGTCACACACACACAAACACACACACACACACAAACCCACCTGCATGAGTCTCTCAAGCTGGAAGAACTTGCAGTGCAGATCCTCAAAGTTCTGCTTGAAAAGGTCCCTGAGCCCATAATCAAACATGATCTTGACCAGCACACTGAAGGCCTGCTCCTCTGGCATCTGTTTTTCAGTTTAGAGACCAAAATATGGGTGATGTTGCTGATCAGGTTTCTAATCTTATTAATGACTCTACTACTACTACTACTACTACTTATGATACTTTTTAGCAGTGTACTCTAAATATCAAACCTAATTTTATAAATACGGGTGTTTTTTTATCAGGACTGTATTACAAAGTTCTTTTTGAGGACACATTTCCTCCACTAGATGGTAGTGTTGACGTTTTCAAGGCATCCAGATTTATCCTTAAACGGGTTATACCAAGTACAGACATAATAAAGAATACACGCCGCATCGACCGCTCCTGTCTAATGGCGCTAACGAGCCGTGGGGCCGCCATCTTGGCCCGGTCGACCGCTCCACTCAGTATAATCCGTTTGGCGCTGGATACATGGTTCGGAGTATTTTAACATTTATAATGGATAAAATAATACTCTGATAGATATAGTATGTGTGTGGGTATATACATACATATATATGTATACATATATTAGAAAATTCACGTCCAGTTGCCCAACTTCCAAAACATATATATATATATATATATATATATATATATATGGACAGACACACATATCCAACAATCAATACAGTTCAACCTTAACCTTATATATACAGTATATTAGGTGTCTGCTCTGTCACACTCAGAATAGACTGGAGTGCTGCTTTCCTCCAGTATTGAGGAACTTTAGAGAGATAATGTCAGAACATAACTAAACATTTCCTCACTGTTCCTGGAAATGTTTAAAACTTTGGTTTATTATTTTTTTTTGCCAGAGTCCTGCTGATATGAACTCACATGCAGCAGCAGTACAGCAGCCAAGAAGGACTGTCCCTGACAGTAGCCAATCTCCTCGTCATAAACAGAGTATGCCTAGAGAAAAAGACACAGACAGAGAGGAACAGAGTCAGTACAGTTATATTAGACTGAAGTCTGTTTTGGATTACTGCACTAGCCAGATCACTTCTCCTCAAGACTGTTGGTATCTGTCCACTAAAATAATAGCATAAATACTGATGTTTGGGCTAGAGATTCCCTTTGACCTAAAGTTGACTTTGAATCCTCAAAACATACACATTTCAAAGAGAAAATAACTCCAACCCTGGCTCATGCCAATAAACAACTACAGAATCAGAAATGTTTATATTCTCAACTTATGTAAGACCAAAATGAACCTTTTGAACTTGAATATACAGTAATAATCGCGTCCATCTTGATCCTCCAGCAGGGGTCGCCCCAGCAGAAGTCTACAAAGGGATTTGGAAGAGTTTTTGCACCAGATGCCCACCCTGACTCCACCCACACTGAGTGGTGGGAACTGGATAGTATCAAACCCAGAACCTTCTGCAGGGGGGCCAGAGTCCTCACCGTGGCCTGCCCATAATTTTAATACTTACATTTGGGACATTTTGCTTTCGCTTTGTCATCAAAATACTGTAATTGCATCCACTCCATCAGTCCGTGTGTGTGTGTGAGTCAAAGTTCTATGACAGATGTAATCATTTCCCAGGTGTCTGATTTTAATAATATAAACATGTTCAAACAGGTCCTTATTTCTTGGTCAAGTGTTGAGCTGTGATATGTTTTATTAAAGCTTAACAGTATATTTTTAACCAAACTTTAATGGACTCCTGTTTTTTTTTTTTTAGGTTTTGTTCTGCTTAATGTTTTTCTCTTTGAACTGAATTACCAAGAAACAAAGAAGGGTGTGACCTGGAGAGAATTCAGCAAAGAAAGTATTCATTTACTGAAGTGTTTGGACTTGAACTGAGGATACGAAGAGAAGCATCTTTGTTACTGTCATAAATAATCTGTTTTTTGTCATTTTTATTTCTGACAACCTACACCCTCATACAGCAGCTGAGGTTATGGACTGTGACGGTGTACAAAGTGAACATTGAGGTGAACATTTTTCTCATTACAATGTGTGACTGATGTCTCTTTAAGAAGACTGTAGAGTTATGTTGAACATTCTGTTGAGGGTCATCTAGGTTCATTTTTCCACTCTTTTAAAAACACTTGACATAGCAGCGCTGCGGACAGTTCCTGGAACTGGGAGAGGACAAGTAGAAGACAGATCAGGAAAAACTGAAATATAAATATAAAGAAGGAAGTAAAACAAAAGTGAGAAACGTTTATATTTTTAAGAAAAAATATAAAATGTAAAGTTTTAAAAGAGCAGGACTTCCTACAGATTTACAAATGTATCCAAATGCAATTCATTTCCAGGCAGAATAAAGAGTTTCTGCTGAATTATTAAAGTCCACCTTAGGAGCTGTGAGCAAATGGACGTCCTCCTGCATGTGTAGATTATTATAGATGATTAAATACAGATGCAATATAAATGGGGAATAAAGCAGTAAATATACAACAGCCAGTCTGTCGAGAGAGTATGTATGTGTGTTTATATGAGTATAACCCTGTCTAAGTACTTGGTACATATTCCTCTCAGTCGCCTCTGGAGGGTGTGTGAGTGTGTCCGTCCGTGTTTGATTCTGAACTCATTTCCATCGACAGTGTTAAACTCAGTGAACCTCAGCCAAACACAGAGGCTGTGGAGCTAATTAATCAACCTATCAATTCTGCAGCAAACTTTATTAACAGATGTGCTGCGCAGCTAATCATTCACACCATAATTACACAGCGTCACGGTAAAAAAAACCTGTCACATAATTTTATAGCAGATTGTTAAAGCTTCTGACTTAATTATTATTTAACATTTAAAGGTTTGATTTAGTGATGAGAGCGCTGTTTTGCAAAACTTACACCAGATTAAACTGAAGAAATATTAACCCAGTGGCTCCCAACCTTTTTTGGCTTGTGACGACGCCAGAGACACTTTAGTAGATGTGAACTCCATTTATAATCATTAAAGTGAAAAAATACAGAATGTCTGTGGTGTTTTTAATTACATTTTAAAAATAATAATGATTGAAGTTGAAAATGTCTGTGGTGTTTTTAATTACATTTTGAAATATTATATATATATTAAATATTTTTATTAGTCATTTTCTTTTAGATAAATTACTAGATATTACAGATGACCCTAGGTTGAGAAACAATGTGTAAAGGTGTGTGTGTGTGTGTTAGGGTCCCACCTTGCAGATCTTGTACAAAGAGTCTTGTCCATCACCTCCAGTGTCTTTAAAGTAGTCATGAGCTGGGAACGTCCTGTTGATGTCTCGGGTGATGGCGCTGTCCTGGGGAGACTCCTAAGAATAAGACATGAGAGAACGCATTAAGAACCAGTGAGTACCGGTAAGTGAAACCAGAAGGAAATGTAAAGAGGACGATAATGAATTCTTATTATCCGTTAGAAGAGGAGGCAAAGGAAGAGAAAACTCCAAAGAAGAAGTGATGCATTTACTGTCTTAGAAGAAAAAAATGCAAAATCCTACTAACATGTCAAGCCCGGACATGACAATAACCTTCTAGGTTCTAGGTAAAAAAAAAACATGGGAGAATTTCAAAGACCCAGGACACACTGGAGTGACTATGTCACTCGGCTGTCCTGGGAACGCCTCGGGATCCCCCCAGAAGGGGACATCCGTGCTCTGACAGTTACCCCCGCGACCCGGTCCTGTTTAAGCAGAGGATGATGGTGGATGGATGGATGGATAAACCATATATAATTTTCAAAACGACCACCTTGGCTGTTCTAGTGTTAAAGGGCATTTTATCCCAAATATTAGCTAACGTACTGTCGTACACCACGCTGGTTTCAAACAAGTCTGTACAATCACTGTATTTCAGGGAATACATGTCTTTTCCTAGTTCCCTCATTACTTTTACAGCAGGTGGACGGGAAGAGATTTCAGAAACATTGATTACCATGATCTGGTGACAAACTCTGTAACCTCATTCTGGGAATTTAGAACGGTTACATTCATGAATGATCTTTAAAAAGCCAAAGTTCACATTTTCACTGGCTTGCAGAGAGTCCTGATTTAAACCAGAAAGAGGAGAAGAAGTAGGGATTCCTGGAAGACAAAAAATGGCTTTGTTCTCTATGTAAACACTCTAAATGGGACTATGAAGAAATGTTTCAGTTTTTATGAGTTCTTATAAATAGTTTCTAATGAAAATTGAGAACTTGTTTTTTTTCAGCATTCAGCGCATTGCCAAAAGGCACGTGGGGTAAAAGCTGTCAATAAAGTCCCTGAAGGCAGCGCCATGTTGCAGTCCCATTGTATTGAGCCAGTGCAAATATCAAATCTCACATGTTCCCCATTGGGCTAATTTTACCTCCTTCAATTCTTTCTTGCGTTTATTCTCAAGGTTACCGTTTCAACTTCCACAGAGGAAGAGAGTCAACCAAAAATAATGCAACTATGGGAAGAAATGCAGGAAGAATAGTGAAACAAAGCAAACAAGCGGAGAACAGAGACCAATAACAGTGGTTCTTTTCTGAACAGCCGCTCCACCACGTCCGCCACACCCAGCAAGTCACAGTTACAGCCCAGTGACTAGTTGTTGAGCAATGCCAATTGTTTAGAGCAATTTAAAGATTTGTAATAACTTCAGTGCAGGTTGGAGAAGAAAAAAAAAAGCTTTTTTTTTGTAAATCTATTTCTACATAGTCAACACTTGGTGGGAAGAACTACGGCAACCAGAGTAAAAGGATCCACATCAGCCATGCTACGGTTTCACAGTGATTGATAAGCATCCGTGTTTACACAAGCACCACTTAGCCACACTTATCTGGAGTGCTGAGAGCATGTACAAAGACCTCTGACATAATGGCCAATTAGCTTTCTCTCCGTCTGTCCATGTGTGTGGTGGTTAGAGAGGTTTGGAATGAGGATTGCGTGAGTACAGAGAGAAAACAAATCCAGTGTCTTTACAAGGAGGAAGTGGGAGTCAAAGTGAGAGAAAGGAAGTGGAGAAAGAAAAGAGACCAGGATGGCTACGTCGGGAGGGTTACAAATGTGCGAAAAGGGGGCAACAAGACAAGATCTGATAACAACTGTATCAGAGCTTTAAATAGTAGGGTGGTCTTCATGGGTAAACTGGGTTTTTGATCCTGTGGGGTCAATATGGACTTTTTTGTTACATTCCCATTTCATGTGAATTGTAGGTCTACGTGTTGTTATTTACTGTATGTATACCTTATTTTCCGCACTATAAGTTGCACCAGAGTAGTCACAATGGCCAGCTAGGGTGCCCTCTAGTGGCTTTCAGTGCGAAAATAACAAACAGGTAAATTTTCAGTAATAGAGTAGCAGATACTGGTACACAAGCCTAGAGTGCCCTCTAGCGGCTGTCAGTTAGAAAATAACAAACACGTGAAATTATATATTTTAATATATAAGTCGCACCTGACTATAAGCCGCAAACCCAGCCAAAAGGATTTAAAAAAGTGACTTTTAGTCCGGAACATTTGGTAATAGAATTTTCTTTTTTCTTGGCACTAAATATAGTACTCTCTGCCAGTAAAACTAGTTTCACTCCACGTTTGCATTCACACTGCAAAGTAATAAAAAAAAGGACATTAAGTAATCCACCTTCATTTTGTGTAGGGATAAAAAAAATGCAAAAATTGGGATGTCTTTTTTTTTACACTGTGGTCATTTTGGACTTAGCAATGAGCTCACACTAAGTTGTTTTTTTTTGCAATGCTTTTAAATGTCCAGGGCGAAAGAAAATCGACTGCATGCATCACCTACTCCATTTGGTTTCAATAAAATCATGGCTATCTAAAGAGTTCGTGTATTTTCTGATTTGTTGTGCTAGAAAAGTGGCTGGCATCTATGACTGCAAAACAATTGGTTATGGCTGTTTTTACAAGATCAATTCTGCCCTAATGTGTTTGTACGAGCGTGTGTGTGTGTGTGTGCGTGTGTGCGTGCGTGCGTGCGTGGGTGTGTGCGTGAGTTTCCTAATGCTAGGAATAAAGTCTGGCTTCCGTGTGAAAGGCTGAATTGCTCCCCCTTCATTGTTTATGTCCCTGATTTTCTATGACTTAACACAATAGCTGACAAGTTGTTCTGTTATTCTTTCTGAGTTCGTACAGAACCCTGCTGAGATGCCAAGGAGAACCAGGGCTTGATGTTTATCAGCCTTCATAAAACCTTGTTCTGAGTACCAAATAAAACAGAGTGTCAGGTCTTCGATAAGACCGCTGATAAAGAAGGAACAATGAGAGTATTTAGTCTGATGGAATTTGTTACAAATACGGAGTTGGACGAATGAAGTATTAACGTTTACTTCATCTGTTTTCCAAATTAATATCTGATCCCTCAACCCAATTATACTAGAGTCCAATATTTAAAATGTAATCCATTATGAGCCCATGTATTATATGGTAGCAATAATTATTAGTGGATACAGTATCATTTTAGACAAGTACTGCTATACCTTTAAGAACTAATATGACTTTAAATGGAAGGTGTAGCCCAGTGTTTTTTTAATCTTGGGGTTGTGACCCCATAGTGGGGTCACCTGGAATTCAAATGGATTTTAAAAACTTTTTTTTTTTAAATTATGATAAGAAACATCAGACACAATCTTAAATAACTGCCCTTTCACTTTGCTTCATTAAAAAAAAGAGTTCAAATAAAATGCAGCATATAACAATATCTGGTGCATCTTGATTGACAGCCGCAATCACGTGCAGAAATAACAGCTGCTAAAATGTCTCTTTGAGTCGCCACCCAACTAATAATTAACTGAATGTCTGTGTCAGTTTGCTGCCCGAGTACACTCACGTTACCACCTCTGCAGTTGCCAGCATGAGAATTCTGCAGATAGAGCACATGAACTAATACAGTTCTGGGATACAGCCCATTTACGGCTATGCATTTACCATGTGCACACAACGGTTTATTTTTATCTGTAACAACATGAGAAAGTCAAAAGTAGACAAATAACGGCAGAGTCTGAGCCAGGCCTTGATCTGGAGCCAACAGCTGTCCATGTCAGGACATTTTTTTCATATTCTTTTCCTAGATGTAAATACAAAACGTGTTCAACCACAGTAACCTAGCTCACAGGATTGAAATGTCAAGAGGATTATCTAATGGGAAAGTCGTGTCACAGTTACAAAGTCCCAACATCGTCAACATGAAAAAGCAGCCCTGTACAAACAGAAATATATTTCCCACACTCTGCCTTTCTGCTCCAGTGATACGCCTGCATTTTCTGCATGATTCCAGACCGAGGTTCTGTTGAACTGCTCATTTATAAAACCATAATGTGATAATAATCTGTGACTCACAACTGTTAGGTCAAGAGTAAGCTATTATGGTCTATTTAGAGCTTAATACACACACACTCGTGCACACACAAAAGGAAAGACTTGAACACAGACTGAAACGCAGAGATAAGAAAATACCACTGTGTGTTTACGGTGCACTATTAGAGCCAGATTGTAAGATCTTATGACCGACTGGTGCCGGGTTTTTTTGTGTGTGTTTGTTACAGACAAGGATAATGGTAAATTACAAATTTCACTGGATTTGTGGCGTATGTCAAAGGATAATGGTAAATTACAAATTTCACTAGATTTGTGGCGTATGTAAATAAGAGTACAATTACGTCCAACAGCGTGATTTGTTTTTGTGTCTGGTGAAAATCTAGATATCATTTATACACTGGTGTTTATAGAGCCATACTATCAGTGAGAGACTGTATTGGCTCCCTGCTTTTACCCGAGGCGTGGGTTTTGGCCCAGTCCCCTATTCCACCATTTCTGGACAACTTTTTATCATGGGAAAACAACTTTCACGAGTGGCACATGCTGGTGTTTTACTGCCTGAACGTTAACCCGGACACAGACGAACACTTTAAAAATGTCAAAACAGCTAATAGTAACATGAATGATTGCTAAAAGCAGTTAAGTCCTTAACACAGTACCGACCTCCAAAGAACAAGAGTCACAACAGGGAAAAAGTGAATGTCCTAAGGTGAATGTTTTTGCTTATACAGTGTATCTTCAGGGACAAATCTGCACAAATTAAGTTGGCTTTTCTAACTAGGTAAGTGTTTCGGGTGAGTAAGGGATAATTATGTTCAGGATACATTTGTAGGAAATATAGGAAAAAATATATATATATATATACACAAGGAAAATATTTACCACAAAAATACAATTAGAAGCAGCTTTATTCACAAAAAGTTAACCCCTGAAACTAAGGGAGCTTTTCCTTATCATCACTTCTCAAATGGCTAGTGTTAATAGATAAACAATCACAAACTAACATTGAGGCCGTTCCTACTGTAACATTCACTATACACAATACTTTTTTTGTATGTGGAACATACAGTATCAACCAGTGTGCCCAGAACTTCAAAAAGACAACAGTTATAAATACTCTTAAATACTGCATTTTTAGTCTGATTACACTATAACAGTCATTACCATATTTATAAAGTTATTGACTCTTAAGGAACATAAAACTCACCCAACATTTTATTTTCTTTTGCATTTCAAGAGACAATAAATCACATATATAAGAGGAAACAGTCGTATTCGTGCACACAAGGCATCACTAAGCCAACACAGTGCAATGGAGCAACACAAACATTGTGTACAACTGGTTGGTCTTTACTTCATAAATGACATATTTATGAAAACACAAACTTAAACACTTTCTGTTGAGCCTTCTTTGGTAGATAAGTTACCATTAATATTAAGCTAAACATCTGAAGACGGAATCATTTTTAACTAACTGTATAAAAGGTTCTTTAGGCTTCTTAGCCTGTTCTTGTGTCAATTCCACCAAGATGGAATAAAAGAGTAACCGCACACAACTACACATGGCACCAAGATGCTGACACCGGCATGCACAGAGACACAAACATACACATATGTTACTGCATTCCCAGAGTTGACAGGTCAGACCTTTTTTCACGGTGCTGCACAGAGGTTAGCTGCGCTCCGGCTTCATGAATAGGACTATTTGTCTGTTCAGTGTTAAGCGTGAACCTCCTGTCTTCATGTATGTGTGTGTTTGTGTGCATATGCACTTGGAAACCTGAAGCAGGCACATTATTAAAGTCACAAAAAAGTCGACAATTATTGGAAGGAATGCAGTAATACAGAACTGTTAAACTGATTAACCTGTGCGTTACATCTACTACTGAAGAGAAAAAAAAGCGCAAGGGTCACGATTTTATTTTTAAGTATTTAATTTACCTTAAAAAAGCACTAATGTCCTAATAAAGTCTGAAGAACTGTTTTCTAATGTACAGAAATAGCATAAAGTATGGTCACGCTTGAATAACTTTAAATTTTTCTGTGATTGGAATAAACCAGTTATATATTGACCAATGTAAAAGGCAGTAAAGTTCACACTTGACACCAGAAAATTGAATCTGTGACCAAATGAAGTTCAGCAGCTACAGTTGGATTTTCCTTACATTTACTCACCCCGTGTTTCCACTAAGAGCTTATAAGCATCAAATGGATTCAAAATACCACAGAAATCTCTGACACGCTCCCTGCATTTGCCCAAAGTGTAATAATCATTTATCTGGACACTTGTCCTCCAAAAACTGCTTAGAAAATGTTTTATGCTCTCGTGAGACCAACGTTCAACCCACAAGATGTTTATGACAGTGTTCTACCGCTGATTCTTGGACTTTTGTCAGAGAAGAAATAACAAAGAACAAAATCCTTAGTATTCTTCTTACGTAAAACCCCCTTTTTAGTCTGTTTGGTATTTCAGATGATAGTCACCCACAGCTTACATACTGTACTAACAACAAAGGAACTGTTTCAGCAGAAGAAAATTAAAGTTTTGCAAGAGTCGAAGCCAAAACTGTGGCGTGAGCTGAAGACAACCGTGCATAAAAGATGCCATAAAATCAATGGGAAAAAACATAAAAAAGAAGACCAGTGGTTTTATTCATGATTATAATCTTTAAAATTAGAAGACAAATTTCTCTCCGTTAAAAATGGTCATTTAGCAGGGCATGTCTACGCTTGAACATTTATAAAAGTATAAGAACCAAAAAAAAATGTATTAAGTAATCGGGGAATCAGTGAACGTTTTGACGACTGATTTCATTTCTTGAAACCTTAACAGTTCATCAAAGAAAGAAAGCATCTCTTGACATAATCACTAAACGACATCCATCCTCATTAGTCTTTTCCATTAATTTCTCAAAATGGTGAAACTGCCAGTGTGGCACATCTGGTCAGTCTAGATCTCTATCTTTACTTTTTAATCCACCAGATGCTTGAGGGACACCGAAAGAATAAAAGCACAGTCAAACAGTCTGCCATTTGCGGTTCATGTAAGTGCTAAATTACTAACACACAGTAGTGCAGTCTGCCATTTGCATTATTTTTTTAACTTAAGCGACACAACCAATAACTTTTAAAAAAAGATTACACTGTAACATTTCTTACTTTAGTAAATAAATTAAGACATCACATCCCATAAATAAAAAGATTCTTCACTGTCACATCACCACAGATTGTTACACATCTTTCTCTTCACATGTCCATAAATAACATTCCTTGACCATTTTCAAACACTTTTTGTAACTTCCAGCTACAAAAACAGCAGTAGCAGACCGATGCCTCTTCCATCTCATTACAGCATATTTCAGCTTAGCAGAGGAGACGTTTTCCTGGAGATATCTTTAACAGATGTTCCCAAGTGTTTTTGCCACAACCATTTCCTACGTGTTCCCTCTAAACATGACAGGTTGTGCCAATTCCAATATCCCTGTAGCCATATCCACACCTTGGACTTCCACATCCCTTCTCTACAGATCCAACCAAAGTCCTTCTGGTGTTTTGAACCACAAAGCCACTGCTGCTGCGCTGCAAACAGAAGGAGCAGAGGCGTTTCAAGCCTTTCCTGAAGGCAGCATTGGAGAGACTGTAGATGAGACAGTTACAGAAGCTGTTGCTGATGGCCAGCCATGTGGTGAGGAAAGACGCAGCAGGGTGATGGTAGATCCCCGCACTCTCCAGTAGGAAGTAGATAATGTAAGGCAACCAAAGGATATAAAACACGCTGGTGATACGGAAAAGCACCATGGCGTATCGCTTGTCTGAGTATGTTGATGTTGAGTGCTGATATGGGGGTTGGTGGGGTCCAATCATTTGCGGTTGGGCGGAGAAGTGCGGCTGCCCCTGTTGTGCTGCAGTGTTGTCCTTGATCGCCTGCAGTTGTTGGGGTTGGTAACGTGCTTGGCGCTCACTGATCTCCCGGGTGTGCTGTCGACAGATCTTGAAAATATTGCCGTAGGTAAAGCAGATGGTGAGTGCAGCTGGAGCGTAGAGAAGTGCCACAATAAAAGTTGTAAATGCTGGACTAGTCCTCCACTGAAGTGCACACCACTCCACCACATCACCGTGATAACCAGGTTTTCCCCATCCAAGAAAAGATGGGAGAAACATCAGAGCAGAATACAGCCAAATTAAAACGATACAGCAGCGCACCCTACATGATGTTACCAGCGAAGCATAGGTCAGAGGTCGAGTGATGGCGATGTAGCGATCGACGCTAACACAGGCCAGTGACATCATTGACACAGACTTCAAAACAGACACCAGGTAGCCAAAAACCTGGCACGTGAGTTTGGGGTCAAGGCCCTGCAGGCAATGGAGGAGGGAGAGGGAGGGAAACAAGCAGCTCATCCCCACCAGCAGATCAGCGTAGGCCATCGTCTGGATGAAAGCACTGGTGGTGTGCTGGCTGAGCAAAGGTGCGCAGTGAAAGACAAAAATTACCACCATGTTACCAGAAATTATAAGAATAGTCAGAAGGAGTATAACAGTAACTTCCAGCAGACAGGTGGTAAAAACCTTGGAATAACCGATCTCAAGTAGGCAGAAGGGAGCAGATCCACCCACTGGGTCAACTAGGCTTAGGTTCAGTGGATCCAGGGAAGAATTCATCATTTTGGGCAAGGAAAATTTTCTTCGGGGGGGAGGGTTCCTTCAGAGTCGAACGAGACCCAGAACCCGCTTGGGAAAATAAATTTCTTTTTGTGACGGTATTTGTTTGGTGTCAGTTCAACAAATAGCCTTTTTGTTGCAGGTCCATAGTGAGCCCTTTGCCATCTGCCATTGTAATGACAAAATGATTCTCAGAGAAGAAAAACTGTAATGATTCCCAGTTTATCTTGAGTCTAACAACAGAGTGTTTTGATTTTCTTCCCTGTTTCCTCAGTGGAGCAGTCTTTCCAACTGGCAGGGACAAGCGAGAGAAAAAAAATGAGAAAAATGTGACTTTGTTTAAAGATATCACAGCCCAATCTATGCTTGAAAAGCATTCGCTCCCCTAAAAGTCAGATGTTTTCAACATCTGCTGCAGCTGCGATTGAAGGTGCCTTTTTATCTGTCTGTAGTCCAAACACCGTTTCCAGTGAAAAGGCTCTACTTTTCTACTTTTGGGATGCGGACATAAATTTAGGGTGAAAGTGATTCCTCCGTTAAATTCCAGCACGAAATTCCACCAATGTCCTTATTCCTTTTCCATGTTCTTCTCGTTTTTTGTTGCTGTTGTTGATCCTTGAGTCGGTTTTCAACCCTCTTTAATGTCCACCTTTTGTCCGTCTCGGTCTCTGTCTGGTCCTGGGTTGAAAGATTACAGAGTGGTTGACTGCTGTTTACCGTGAGGAAGGAGGCAGTGCACAGGACTCTGATGTTGAAAATACACCATCGAATATATAAACACAGACACGATTCAACTATTTAAATCAAAAAGACAAGCAACTGTAACTGATGTAGGCATGAGGACAGCAGGCAGACCGATGCTGAAAGAAACCCCCTCCTCCCCGCTGGTGGTCATTTATCCTCTCTCTCCCTCTGTTGCTCTCTATACAGACACAGTAGCACTGCAGCCCCTCCTCTTCCCTGTGTGTCCAGCCAATGATCAACTGTGAGGGTCTGAAGCTGGGTCCTACCCCCACCCTCTTCCTCTTGCCTGTGTGTAGTACCACTGTTTCTCACAATACACCCAACGTCTACTAATACTGTTTCACGCTGTCAAAATTAGCACTTGTAAAATTGGATTTGAAGAAATTGGATTTGGATGCTCAGAATATTGGCCCAGATATTGAAATGGATTATTTTTTAAGTCCAGCTGATCAATAAATATGTTTGAGTAGGTCAAAAAAAAAAAAAACAGAAATAATAGTGACTATTTCTTTCTTCTTTTTATTTTACAAATACGCATGGTGCTAAAACTGGAATTGAAGTACAGGGTTTCTGCTAAGTACATTAAGCAGCTTCTCTGTATTTAATTATTTCTGCCGGTGTTTTATAATCAGTGCACAAAAATGGTCTATTTGATACTGTCACTGTAGCCTAAACAGTATCAACATGAAGTATCTCAATCCACAGCACCACTGGGTTTATCAATAAATGTTGTCTTAAGCTATTATAGTCCATGGGTTTAACACCATACATTGTTTAAATTACTGGCTAGTGAATTCTAGGCTAATGCTAAGGTTGGCACCATTTTGGTATTTGTGTTGTCTGGAATGACCAGCATTTTCATTGTCAATCCACATAGCTAACAATGACATGTATTAATGAAGGTAACTTTTAAAAAAATGTATTACTTTGAGCAGGTGCAGATATAGTATATAGTCATATACTATATATGACATACAAGATGGGCAGTAATTATTGGCATAAATTATTCAAATGGAAAAATAACAAAGATTAGACCTGGTTTGCTTCACTGAGGCAGCGAAACCTTCAAAGTAAGTAAGTAAGTGAAAAATATAGTCTGTTCAAAAGGTAAACAGAACAGTCAACCTGCAGAGCCAGGAGCAAATGGACAAAACAGTGGACAATAACAACCATCTGTCTACAACTGGACAGTGTGTTCTAAATAAGCTTTTTAATATATCATACATACAAGTCAAAACTATGGCATTTACCCACCTTGTAGTGGTTTGCTGTAGCTAAAATTATTCATTTATAAAAATTTAAAGTCAGTCAGCTGTTGCCAAATAAGTAACTGCTGGTACACGTGTACACGTTTTTGCTACTTTAGGTACAATTATCCTCTGACGCTAAGATGTCTCTGCACTGTACGCTGGGTGAATGAATCACTTTGTAAAGCAACAGAGTTTTCTCTGTTTAACTACATGTCAACATATGGTAAAGACAAAAAAGGGACGCCTATAATATATCCAACAAATCTATAATCCAGTTAGATATTTAAGTAATACATTATCACATTTTTTTTCTTTTCTTTTCTTCACTGTGCATCATAGGTAGCATATTAAAAATATAATGATCAATGATATAACTGCCTAATTAAAGACCAGTTTCCCAGCATCCCTGGAAACATCCACTCACACCCACCCCACTGTCATACCTAGCATGAATAGATGATTAAATAATCGTTTTCTTTAATTCCAAAGAGCTGGAAAAATGGTGGAACATTTCCCTAAGGACGTTGACAGACGAAAACAAATTCCTTTAGAGGAATTATGTACAAATCGGTAAATAACTGGGATTTAATTCCCAGCAGGGTGCATGGGAAAACAGTTATAATGACTAATAACTGAAGTTTCACACTGAAGTTGGCAGGTGTATCCTGGTTTTTATGATTGTGGTGAAAGAGCTCATAACAGGTCATAAGCAGTTTTCCACTGCCTGTTCTCTTTTTTTTGTATACCAGTGACTCAACCTGTGGGAGCTGTGACAGGAAATGTGCCAGAATCAAAGCAGGGAGGAAATGATAGGAGCAATTTAAATGTGATACTGTTCTCTCTCTCCTTTTTTCTGCCTAAATGTTTCAAAGCTAAATTGAAAAATAAAAAATTATAGGTAAGCTTCCTCTGGTGCTGGCTGTTTTGCTTAACTTTTCATAGATCCCATAAATGCTGTACTGAAAAAAACCTGTGGATTTCACTGTAATGAGGCCATTGTCAAGACTCAACAAGTGTCACATTCAACATCACTTCTAATGGCATTTTTACCATTCTAATACTTATCTTAAAATTGAAATTGTCCCACAGAGGCAATGTCTCTGTCATTGGTGTGGAACCCCAGGGTTCACCTCCTGGGCAAGATGGAATCCCAGTTAGGGCGGTCCAATCGATTCCTGCGGTACTGTGTGTTGAAAGTTCTAAAAAGAAGGGGCACCTGCGCATCTTGAGTCGGAGATGGTTCAATAAACATGGACAGTATGTTTATTTATAACGTTTTTTTGTGGACAGTGCCACACCTCTATTAAACTCGCCTCCATATTTTCATGTCACCGACGCCTCGCCATGGTTACTATCACTATGCACAGGCGCACTGAGGGAGAAATGCTCCCCTCGGCTCGGGGCTCTGCTTCCACTGTGCGAAAGAATTTGCCGGCCGACCAAAATTTCTGACTTCCGACTGTCTGATGGTGGTTCGGGAACAGATAATCGGCCCTCGTTACCCCATGTACACTGAACGGAAAAAGACGCCCGACGAAATGTGAAATTGGGCTAAGTGTCACCAGGTCGTGCATCTCACAAATCGGGTCAAAAACGGGCTAAAATCGTACAGTGTATGCCCAGGCAAAAGCTGCCACAGGAGGCACCATTAAGTATATTGTTCCTCTGGGTCTTGGCAGATGTGATAACAAACATTATTTTCATAATTTTCATTAATTTCTTACTTTGATTTATTGTATTATGTCTTCAACATGTCCATGTGCATAAACACATAAAATCATTGAAAATGGTTTTGCAGTTTGATTTTTTTTTTAATTCAGGAGAATAGGTCAGAGTAGTATCAGTTTACAAATATTACCTACTTTTATTGTGAGGTACCGACCAAAATTTCTGACTTCCGACTGTTTTTGTGAGGTGTGTTGACAAATCTTGAGAACTTTTAAGAGCTGACTTTTTTTTCTCGATGTGTTGTGTTTGGATTGGCTGCTGTCTCACAAAAGATCAAACTGCAATGTGACTTAAGTAGGGACAATAAATAAATACTTCTTAAGTTACACTGGTACTTCATTAAGTACTTTTGTAAACTCCCATGAGCCACAACTTTCTCATGCCTGCGCCTGCATCATGGGACTGACCGAATGTCCCAGAGCAGCAGCCCACATCAATGACCTGCATTTGGATACGAGGGTCACCACCATGTTCAGGTCAAGGAAAGGTTGCTTAAAGGGATCCAACCCGGGACATAATGTACGGACATTAGAATGGAAGACAAAGAGACGTGCAAAGCACGCTGAAAAGCCATATTAAGAACTTGTGTTTGGTTGGTACACATACCCCAAACAGATGAATTGCCGTTCAATTAGTGCCTTTGACAATAGCCACATGAATGTGACCGAATATTGTATTCCAATTAAGACACTGAAAGCCAAGTACAATTACGCAATACAACTCAATGCTCTTTTCAAAGCAGTGTTTCCAGATTAGTATGTCTAAATTTAACCGAGACACTTTTCATTTTCCTGTCCTTCAACTATACTGAGCGAAGTGCCAAGTACTGCTCTGGAAGTCCACAAAACCTAAATTAGTTGTCAAAGTCAGATCTAACTGCACAGGCTCTCCACACACTTTGTGTTTCTTGGCTCATGTAAAACCCTGGAATGCTTTTTTTGTGCTTCTGTAATAAATTCTTTTCCCACTTTCTGTCCACTGGCTATCGATAGAGCGGCTATGATCCATTGTTATTGTATTCTGAGAGAATGTTGAGGATTCCATTCATACCATTTAATGTAATGGGGAAAAAAACAGCTTGGCTCTTAGCGTTATTTTGGTGCAAATGTTATATTTGTGTTGGCCCCTTCTTGAAGAGTCTAAATCTGAATGTGAGAGACAGGTAAACGGCTGAGTAAACATGAAGGAAAAGTGCAAAGGCGGGAGGTAGGAGAGGAGCAAAGGGGAGAAAAAGGAGGTCAAGAACAGTGAAGAATAATGAGAGTGGGGAGGAGAGGGAAAATCTAACATCTTCTCACCATACGGAACCCTGCTTTATTGTCCGTACATGAAAAAAAATAAAAACACATAATTTATCGTTCACGTGAACTCAACACTGGAGGTTACTGCTAAAGTTGATTTGAACAGAGAGAAAGATGATACATTTTCAATAGTAAAATTTGAGAATTGATCTAATTCGTTATTGCGTTAATTCCAATTAATTATATAGAGACAAATCAACCTCTGAAAAATAATGCATTAATGCAGTGGTTCTCAAACTGTGGTATGCATTCTCTAGAGTGCTCTCTAGTGGTACAACAGGAAAATTCATATTTTCACATTTACATTTTCAATTGAATGAATCTGAAACATTTCATGCACAATTAATACAACATTTAAACATACACATCTTTCTAAACCTCTCTCCTGTGGTGGAAGCTAACAGGGAAGGACCTATGCTGCTATATTCTACTGTTGGTCATCATGGTGGTACTCAGAGACCTCAATGTTTTCTCAGGTGGTACAGAGTACAAAAAGTTTGAGAAGCACTGCATTAATGCATTACTCTAGCCCTGCAGGTGGCGCTAATGCACCTTTGTTCTTTTGCCAGCCCGGAGAGGGTGTACAACAGCAACTATAATTGATAGAAATGTTATTAATTGAGAACACTTAATAATAATAAACTGAGCTCCCTCAGCAACGACAGTTGGTTCAAAAATGTTTAAATTAACTCTTGTTCTGCATTAAGAGCACCTTTTTACAGTTTTTTAGAAGGGCAAATGATTTGTCCGCTGATCCTTTAGAAAAGCCATGGTACTGATCTTTTCTACAAAAACACTAGCCCGAGTAAAAAAGGGCCCAGAAGCCAAAAGTTTAAGTAAACAAAGCAGCACAGACCTTAAGTCCAAAATATCTAAATTTAAATCACCATAAATAATTATCATAATTGAATAACCTCTGCCGAACACAGACCAACCATTGTATGTGGTACTAATGTTAACTATTTCTGGCTTGGTTCCAAGATCACGTGAACAAACTGAGGGTTAAACAGATTTTTTTTTTAAACTTCAAACAGCTTTATCCTGAAATGGTCTTCTGTGGATTATAAACAATGCAGTAACATAGTAATATGAGACTAGAGTATGACTCGTGTACTTCAGTTAAGTTATTGTGAAACTTCACCAATCTGTAGCTGATAGTGGCTTATACAAGGCATCACTATAGTATCTGACGTCACAAGCTCAGAGCACATGAGAAAAACTCTTATGAAACACCGGTCCCAGAGGAGCCTTTTCAAAAACGTCACGTTCGACCACGACTGATGCCAGCAAACATGGTCAAAACACAGTAGAAAAACAAAACAGATGTGCTGCACTGCTGGTGTTCACCCCCTGCAAACTAGTGCAGTGGTAGACTTCAACTAAATTTACCAGTGTCATCAACATTAGTCTGATGAGGTCTTGAAAACTGCTAAATTTTTAATTATTTACACTGGAAAAACACACATCCTTTGGTTATTTATAAGGAGTAGTTAGCCACATGCCCACAAAAAAACTGTTCCATATGTGACCTTTGACCCATGTCTGTTTAGTTTGTTATTTTGAGTCTAGTTCTTACATCAAATTCAAAAACAGCCCCCAGGGTCACTACCACAACAACATGGACATTTTTGTTCAACTCTCATCACTTACCTTAGTGATGAGAGTGCGGTACTCTTCCACCTGGTGGTCATTGTTATGGCAACCTGCCAGGAGCTGCCACACTTCTCCACGTAGAGCCTCGGGGATGCCGCTGCGCACCAAGGCGGGCAGCTGCTTGGGACGAACGGATAAGTTTAAATGCCTGGAAGAGAAGAAAATCCAGCAATGAATATAGAGTAAAAAAAAGTCATAACTGTTAAAATACGCATTATTCTGAAGTCCAACCAGGCTAACATTTGGCTAACCCAGGGGTTCCCAAATCGGGGGTCAGGTCTTCCTGGAGGGCCACGGTGCTATTGTGGTGTTATTGGTGTATTATTTATATTTGTTTTTTTTACACTTTTGGCCTCAGTTTTCTGTTTTGGTATATTTCAGGTTTTTTTTTTACAGGAAGTACACTGTAATGAAATTAACTGAACATTGAAAAATACAGGCAGAGAGAGAGGTGTTGTTGCAGAGCTCTTGACTGACAAAATAGAGGTGTTGTTGCAGAGCTCTTGACTGGCAAGAGCTGACAAAAAAAAACAGAATCCTATGATTCTCTTCATCTCCTTAAGTTTTTTTATTACAAATATCAGTTTATACAGCCTTGAGAAATAATAAAATGGGACATCTTGTTCTTTTTGGGGCATGTGCAACGTGGGTCAGGCAGACTTGGTCCTGGGGGCAATTGTTTCGTTAAAGGGCTTCCTGTCTTTTGCTATTTTTCTATGTTTTACTCCAAATCTTATTACAAAACAGCACAGCACCCACCCATCTCTACAAAAATCAACAGCGCAATTAACAAAGACCAGCATTATTTTAGGCAAGTCTTATGATTCTATTCTCTGTGACATAAGCAAACAGTTCCAGGACCTACACGGTGGTTGAGAAAAACAACACACAAATGATGCATTGTCATGAATTCAGGTATCATTGAAGAACATGACATATTGTACACAGGAGAAAACACAGTGACATACTGTTCAGTGTGGTGTACATCAAATCACAACCCTGTGTAGGGAGCATAACATGAAGCTAATTAAAATCCTGGCAGTTTCTCTTCAGTTCATCACAGCCTTTGATTAAAAACAAATGCAGTAAATGGAGTGGGGGGGAAATGTTAATTACAGTAGCTGCTTGTCACGAATTTTCTCATTCATCTACGAGTACCGTATGCGTGCACCTCTAATTCAAAGCATGAGAAGGAAAATAGAGTGAACAAGCCTCACCATTTGGAGAGCAGGTCTCCCCATGTTTCCAGAATCTTCTCTGCACACTCTTTGGAAACATCGCCCGAGCCGCTCAGTAACGGCTCATCATTATCTGGACACAGAAGACATATGCACACACACAGTGAATCAGTGTGTCTCAGAGTGTGTCTTATGTTTGGCACTTGTGCAGTGTTTTTGCTTGGAAATAAACAAATTGCAACTGTTGTTACATGAGTACAAGAGTGACATTGTGACACACACAAACACACACATATATATATATATAAAATAAAAATTGTATAAAGGTATGAATAATGTGTACTATCTGTTTATTTGACTGTGTTGATAACAACTAACTTCACCCACAACGTTTCCCAGGTGGATTATGTGTTGTACAACTTTAAAGAAAAAATAAATGAATTCCACTATAAAATAACAATAAAGCCTTAAAAATTAGACAAAATAAAAAAGCGAACAGCAACCCTAATGCTAATTCAAAGAAAGCTTGGTTATATGTTAAATTCTACTCTCACATTCTGAAACACATGCCCACAAATACACCCACACATGATAGCTGAGAACTCCATAAGAACACAAACAGTTCCGTAACACACTGTCTGATCTCCTACAAGCTTTTAACTCTCAGCTTTAGTGTCTGTGCCAAGTTCTGATCAGCTCCACCGGTCATTTTACCTTTTGAGATGAGAGATCAGTGATAGGAGTAGGAGGCTGAACATTCATCATGTTGAATTTTACTACTGACTTACCTCTTCCTGTGACAAATAACTCCCATTTTATAATATAATAAATGTTCCAGAGTGAAACAGCATCCAATCACCTTCCTCTTCGTCATCCTCAGGTGGCGAAGGCACCATGGCACCAGGACCAGAGGGCAGAATCCCAGGACTCGCTGTGGTCTTCCTTTTCTCCCTCTCAGTCTCACTTTCCAAACTCACCACCTCATACAGCGTGTCGGAGGCTGGACTCTTACGCTCCTTGCGCTCCATCTGTAACGACAAACAAATGTTTTAAACTTTACAAATCGGACATCTTTGCACCACTCCAGGTGATAATGCACGTCGTACCTGTCGTAGTTTAAGGTAGAAGGTCTCGGTGTAGCTGCGTTTACTGAAGGGCCAGAAGAGCCTGTCATTTGGGGAGCACACTCTGACCCTGGTCTCTAACAAGAAGCGGACTGGTTCTTCAACCTCTGTGATCACCAGGTCGACCGCTGTTGTCATGTACATGAACTTATCTGGAACGGAAACAGATACACGTTAATACTCATCAGTGCTCCTTGTGGACATAACTCAAGCAAACCTTAATCAGGCATAGGGTTTTTCAACCTTGGGGGTCGTGACCCCAAGGTAAACATCCCACAAGCATTTATTTGCAAATTTTCACAAGATACCTTGGCATTTTTTTATCATGCTTTCCTTTTGCAGAAAAACAATTCCAAAATGTATAAATAATACTTTATCATCCTGATATCAGGCTGATGTTATCGTCATATTTTAAACAGTCATTCCAGCTGCATGTATCATCACTTGTGTTGCTAATATCCATTAGCCCTTGACCTAGTAGGAAGAGGCTGAAGCTTGTTATCTGAGGATCACGAGTTCCCTTAGTCAACAGTGGTGCGTTGACTAAGTTCACTTACTAAGTGCTCCAGAAATCAAAAACCGCTCCCTCTCAATGGGTCAATAGCCTTAAAGCAGATGCAGATTTCATTATATGTATTGTTGTTAATGTGTACACTGTATATGTACAAAGACAATTAAGGTGATTCTTCTTCTCATGTATTCATCTGCCACTCCTGAGTCATTTTTATGTAGAATACATACATATATATATATACATATATACAGAGTATATTAAAGTGAAAAACTGAATCATGTCATGTTGCCCTCTTCTGCAGTGGTCACTGTAATCAGTTATCTGACGAAAAGCCTTGGCTGAGTTTGTTTGCAGTGTCCTTCCTGACACAACATTCCAAACTCAACCAGGCTTGGGAAAAGCACTATGTAACCGGGAAAAGATGAATAGCTAATATTTCCGTCCATGAGACAGCTACACAAAAAGGCCAAGCCGTCTGGTAGAAGGAGGAACTCCCTAACTACTAATCCACGATAACTGTGTGATGTAACTCAGTGACTCCCACCTCTTATGGGCGGCCGTACACGTACAGTATTTCAATAGGTCTGGATTTCAAAAACTTCAGGAAGAAACAGTTTGTGACCGAAGAGCGTGGGATCTGTGGCAGTTCTCCAGGCCGTCCTCTGGCTCAGGCCCACATCAGCTGAATCCAGGTCTGGGACTGGACTTCCACAATCCTCTAGTCTGTTCTTATTAAAAAGGCCAAGTTCTTCCTGCCCTGTCATATGAAGCTAGCATAGCAGCTCTAGACAAGGC